CCTATCTTAAATAGAGAGTTAGTTCGGTACGGGTAAAAAATTGTTTTTAACATGTTGAGGGATGTTGTGGCCTCGCCCACATCTATTCGTATTTATTGAAAAACTTTTTTTTTCCTTTCGATGAAATGGCCTTTCTTTCGCCCAGACTTACCTGGTAATAAAAGATCACCGGAAAGCATTTTTTTTAAGCAACGCTCTTGGGGAGGGGATGGCGATTTTTTAAAACGCCGTCTAGTGTGGACCGATGAACAGATGAAAACGGAAAATTTCTTGCCAGGTAAGAATCGCTCACTGCCACTTATTTTTTTAAGACTTCTAGCTTCGAAAGTTGTTCTTTTTTAATTCTTTGAGGTAAACTGATGTTGAAGCTTGATTTTTCAGCATACGAGTTAATCAGTATGGGCCCTTTAGCTTCTGCTTTCGAAAATCAAAGCGATATACGACTTAACGACTGTACGATACCTGCAGGGAGGACGCGATTGTCAACGTTTTTTGAAAATTAAAAGAAAATCTCTTTTCAAATAAAAGCCGTGTGACGTGTGGACGGGGTCTCTGGAAAGAAAGGGCCGTTTTGTCTGTCTTGATATAGGTTTTCGGGGTTATACTGACTGATATAAAGAGAAGAAATTCAGTGCCGTATTTTCTCTCTCTTTAATTAATATCATTGGTTAACATAATTATCAAGTGTGTAATGGTAAATCTTGACTGAAATTTCGTGGATGAGTGGCCAATACGAATTGACTCCTGGTCACAAAATGACTCCTGGTTACAATTTTTATCAGTTGGGTTTGTGTATTACGAATAAAAGGGCACAAAGTGTAAAGAAAAACCGCTTCATCTTTACCCTGCAATCGCTCCAACTTTTCTCAGCGACTGTTTCGCTCTCTAGATCTCCTGCTTAAAGAGGAAAGAGTATCATCCGTGTGTAGTTGTGAAGCAAATGGATTAGCAATTAATGTTTTTACTTGAACAACAATTCTTCACGTTTACTCTATGTTTACATGTAATAGACTTTTATCAAGAGTGCAAGGCTCCCGTTCGTGTGTACGTTAATTCCAAAGTAGAAATTCACGATTGGTTTACTATCACAGTTTTAATAATAACAATCTTTTAATAGGATGCTCCATCACAAGAGTGGTTTACATAGAGGTCCTAATTACGAGATGTATATTATATAATACAATTAAAATATCAAAAGGTTAAGCTAAAATCGATATATATGATAGAAAAAAAAAATAAAATAAAAAAAATAATTCAAGCTAAAATTGAGTTACAGAAATAATTAAAAACATACACACTACAAGTACTCAATTATAAAAAGCAGAAAAAAGACACTTCTTAAAAATTGGAAAA